CAAATGCTGTTTTTGTTGTTGTTGTTGCTTGCTGCTGTTGCGGGGGGTCGTTCACATTGCCGTAGGTTGTGATTTGTTTAGCGGTTGCCAACCTGCCCCCTCTCGTTTTGTCCAGCAGCTTGTGCACTTGTCAGCGATGTGCGAAAACTCGTATTATTTCTCTTTAGCGAATTCCCAAAAATTAATTTATTTGTTTGCACATTCTATTTGAATTGGGCTGCAATTCCAAGCATACAAATTAATCGAATCACATTCAGTATTGCATATAAAGCAACAGCAAAATTTAATTGCCTGTTTTGGCCAAGAGTCTTTTGGCAAATTAATGTGAATTTAATTCAAAATTAAATTGAATTTTATCACTCTGATAGCAATTGAAGGCAACGATTGAAAGGCATCAGGCATCAGGGTAAACGCCTTGTCCGATCTAATTAAAATAAAATCAACCGATTCTTATCAGCAGCTCGACAAATGTGTCGCCTCGCGCCTTGAAATGCGAATGTGCGCCCCATTATCAGAAATCAAATCTTTATTTACTTTCGTCAGTATGTGTGTGTGCCCACATATATACATATACGCGTCCAAGAGTGAGACGCCATTTTATATTTATGTAAGTGCAAATATATAGTGTGTATGTGCATATACACTATAATTCCCATACTATATTAGCTACATTACTTAAAAGTTAGATGGAAAATACTTTAATACAGATCTAGATCTGCTATCGAGAACTATTTAAGTTATCTGTGTCTTCAAATAGTTAATTTATTATTTGAACTTCTTTCATCTAAAAAGCTGAAATTTGAATTAAGTTCGCATTGAAAAATTGTTTATAAATCGAGCGAATGACTTTTTTCTAACTAAATTGTGTTAGCAGCATGAATTTCTTCATAGGAAAAGAAGTTTTGATATGTTTTCAAAAAAATTTAAAACAATTATAACGAGCAAGCAAGCATATCTGTCCAGATCTGTGCGAAAAGTGAAGCTCGTGAATGCTGAGTTTGGTGAACATATCTCGGAAAACAGAATGTTTTGTCATACAAGAACCTGCTTTTAAACCGATCGTTCCCATTGCAGCTATACGATATGCTGTTCTTTATGGGGTCGCATTTGTCTTCTTTTTAAGTAACCCATTATTTAAGATTAAAAAGACATTAATTGTGCTTAAAATTGTTTTTTAGCAAGCAAAAAGATAAATTATCAGAGATAAATTGGATAATATGATTGTAGTAATATGATATAATAATATACTGAACATATACAAATTACAACATATGTGTTACATGTATGTAACAGTCAGAAATATGATAGACAGATATTCTGTCCATCTATCTTCTTTTAATTATATATCTGGATATTTAATACTCATTTGTGCATTGATATATTTTTGTTTTTATTTTAGTCAACGAGATCACACGCACATCCCTTCGCTTTCATATGCTCCTGTTACTCCTCTGTTAGACAACATGCGTCTAACATTTTATCGGCCGCTACAGGCTCTCAACGATATCTCTATCTGGCAGAGATGCACGGCCCTCTTATATATAAAATTTGTTGAAATGAATATATATTTCTTTGATCTACATTTTCATTCGAAAAATTAAGCTTTCCTTTCGTCTAGAGCACTAAGCTAGTGTCTAATTATAAATTCATCCGATTACGTCTTAAGCTGCCCCCATTAATAAAGCTGCAAACAGATGCGCAGTTCGAATAAGCCACGAGTTTCTTTCGCTCTGCATGCTCTTTATGCTTATTGTGCCTCATCTTGTGCCTCCATTTTCAGCAATCAACGTGCAACTTGAGGGGGGAGCAACAAAATTTTAAATCAACTTTAATTGAAATAAATTGTCATATCATTTGCGTTCGCGTAGAAAACAGACCCGCTGTCAGCAATTTACAAAAAAGTATACAAGAAGAAGAAAAACTGGAAAATATGTGGGCTATGTACTGGCATATATCTCTCACCCCGCTCATGCTGCTCGAGTGCTACTTAAAAATGCCCATAAATTAAAGCCATCAATCAAGCAAATTGAAAATATTGAAATATGTTTATGATATGACAGAATTTCCCAAAAATCACCCCTCCACCTCTCTCTCACTCTCGCTCTCTCTCTTTATAACATTAACATTAACTAGACTGATGGCCAATTGGATAAAATGTCTGAAAAAGTAAAAGCCTTAAAGCAGCTGCTGTCTTCCAACTTGATTGAAATGTAACATTAAACAGTCGGCCAAGTGAAAGTAACTTACTGTAAGCATCTAATGGCTTTTTTTTCTAATTTATATATTTGTGCCAATTGCGTCATCAGCAATAAACAAATAGCATAATGTTTGGTCATAAACCTACGTTAAGGTCGCTTGTTATCGAGATCCGTTGATCATAAACAAAATAAAAAACTCACCAACTTTGCGGTTAAGTGCGCACGCACAATGGAACCAACTAGTAGCTACTAGTGACACCCATCCCCCAACCACCCCTTACCCATCCCCCGCCCGCTGCCCCGTGCCCCGTGCTGGCTGCGTAACAACAATTTACGGCAGCGCAGTTTATGCAATTTATGTGCAATTTTTCAATTGTGGCTCCGACAAACGGCAAACCGGAAGATTTCGTTTGAACGACTCCGTTTTTATGCCCTGGCGGCAAGAGTATTAATATATTGTCACGAAATATGTAACGCATAGAATATATCTCGGGTTAATATCTTCTTGAACAGTATCTGAAGGCAATATAGTTGGATTCGTGCGTCTGAACGAATCGGAAAAGCTATCTTAGAAATAATCAGTTGAAAATTAGGTTCTTCCAAGAAAAGCTTTTTGATCGACCATTATGTTATAAAGCTGTCACAGAAATAATTGGTTGATTAGGCAAAAAAGGCTTTTTTTTAATATTCCTTGACCTTGAAATGGGTATTTCCTAGATTCAGTATGCTCCTAGCGTTTGTCAGGGTTTTATCAAAATCGGCACACTATTACATAATTCTATTGGTAGGATCGGTCGACTTATAAGTTTTTGTATAAAGGGTATTTAATATTCTTCTTTCTAATACGTTGTTTTTTCTTCTTTTTGCACAATGTTGTAATTTGAGTCACATAACTTTATGAGCTGCCACATGAATGTTACATGCGCGTAATGTGAAAATTTAGTTGTTGCTCTGACGTCGACAACTTTTAATCGCAATCAATTAGAATGACATTTGCAATACGTCGAACGACAGAGCTGGGCAATGTGATTAGAAATTACGAATTAATCATAGTACGGAATATCATATATAATTAGCATTCGATTAAAGTTTAAACCAGAAAAATGTTTACAGAAACTCGAATGTAGTTACGAGTGCTTCTAAATTATTGAGAAGTAAAATTCTAAATGGAGTTAATTGGGTTAAAATGAGATTTAACAAAAACAGATTTAATATACTTAAGTTTATGCACATGATGGCAGACAATTTTTCAAAGTAAATTTATGAAGGGCTGGCATCTCTGTCAGATAGAGAGGTCAGTGGGAGCCTGGCTCCAGAAGATATATATACACATGTACATCATACTTATATTTGTCTTTTCTTGTGAATAACGTCCCATTGCTTGATCTGGGTTTTATGCTATAAAGTATATCTAACTTTGAAGTAAGGTGATCTATTCCAATAGACAAACTATAATGTATCTATTATATATTATTTCACTTTGCAAGGGTTACAACTTTACTACCCTGCTTTAAGCGCATCCTGATAGCAGCAAATCCTAAAATTTCAACTAACCAGTTTCCCATTTTTTTCACCGAATATTTAAGACAGATATTTGATTAAGTAGGCCACCAAAAACTCGCAGCACTTCTATTAATTTCGCGTGAGATCGAAACCAACTTCGTTCAATGGCTGACATCATATAAAACTAGACAAACTCATGTCGTTAGATGGTAATCTCAAGATACACACACACGTACAAGGCATAGATACAATTCCAGTTTCATTTATCAACATTCAAATCATGGCTGTGTAGTCAACTTCCTTATCAATCATGCAACATTTCTATATAACCCATACATTTGCATTTAAATGAGAAACGTACCTGCAAAAAGAAAAAAAGAAGCAAATACAAATAAATTAATAATATGACAAATTGTCGTATCACAATTTACATAAGATAATAATTTTTGAATATTCTTCGAGCGCATATATTACGTGGGAAAATGTTGAAAGCGAGAAACGGGCGCCAAAAGTTGGCACATGAATGTATCAAATGATATGGGGAATGCACAATATAACACCAAACAAAAAAGGCGAATAAAGTGAGCCTCACTTACGGCACAGACAAACCGATGAAGTATCAACAAATTAAAAGCCGCAAGTCGACCCGCATTTTGAGCTATCAAATTACCAGACCGCCCGTTTGCTTTAGATACAGATACAGATCCCCATGAGAGAGAGAGAACGTGCTTTGGGTTTGGCGCTTTTGAAACTGAACAGTTTACGCGCACTGACAAAAAGAAGAAGAAAATGTTTTGAAGTAGAAGCAAAATCAACAAAGGCAGCGGGGAAACGAGATGTTTTCGGAACACGTGTGAATACAATGGTTAACACACATATTTGTTGTTGTCTATGCAAATAGGTAAACAAATCCAAAGAGTCCAAGCGAGAGAGAGAGAGCGCGGCTTGACTAATAAGCGACAACACAAATACACGCTTAAGAATTTGGATTTGCCTGCAACTGAGAGTGAAAACAACGGTAGTTTGTTAAAGCAGTAAAAGCTGCTATTAAGCGACGATTAAAAAGTGCACAAGTGAGAGCGAGAGGGGGCAAACAAAAATAAAAACGGCAGCCAGAAAAAGCAAACACACAACGGCTTGAGCTGTCGTCCGTTGCTTTTGTCACAATATTTATAGTGTGCACTGTAATGTGTATGCGGCTGTTGTTGCTTGACCTGTGCACAGTGCCTGTCACCATAATGTCCACTCTTACTCGAGATAATGTGTGTGTGAATGTCTAGGTTTAGTTTGTTTGCTTACCGGATAATACATTCCTTGCGGAGGAAGAAAAAATGCCCCGGAGCCCCACAGTTTGACGGCTTTTTGTGTTTACAGTTGCGTCGCAAATTATATGCACAGCTGACCCGTATAACTGACACCAACAAATAGCGTGCTGGATTCCTACTAGGGATAGTCTACACTCTGTAAATAGGGGTAGTCACACTTCTTGTTGCACTTTAATTAACACCGAATTTGAGTTGACGTCGCATTTGTTGTATTTGATTTATTTGTTTTATTCATTAGCTATATTGAGTATTTGCTTTTACAATATACTTTTTGGCACAATTTACAATTTGAGTGAATTTCACTTGGGAGTTAGTCGCAGTTCACGATTTGATTGAGTTGAACTGAAAATACATTTTCGAAATGTTTTTGAGTATTTCAAGGGAAAACAGAAACAAAACGAAATGAGAAAAAATATTTGAACAATTATTAAGATCTTTAAAAAATAAGTTGAGCTGAAATGGAGATGTTTGAATTTCCAAAAAAAATCACATCTGGGCGACGTTCAGATTATTTATATGCACTGCCCGAGAACATAAATATATTAAGTCGTTTATATTTTAAGACGATTTTCACAACGATATTTTTTTTATGCCGAATTTTATGACTTGCACAATTTTGGAATGCCTTCTGCGCAGTTTACTTAGTGTATGTATATGTGTACGAATTTATATTCCGATGTTTTTGAACGTTTTTAACGAATAATATTGTAAAACTAATTGTTGTTTAGGGGTTGCTCTCGCGTCCAACTGGGCAAAGGATGTTGGATGGCGGCTGTGGCTGTGCCAAGCGAAACGAAACGAAAACAGAAAATGCGCAAAAAGACAGAATGAAAACACAGCGCAAACGCGAGACAAAAGAGACCAGGCAAAAGGCATGAGAGACAACCACGCGCTTTTATCGAAGAGCAGGGACAGGGGCAGGGGCAGACGCAGCCAAAGTTTCCAGTTGAATGAAATGATGTGTTTATAAAATAAATAGAAAAAAATCTATTGCGAATTTCGATGCCACTGTGAACGTTCTTGTTGTTGTTGTTCTTGTTATTGGCTGGTTTATTTAGCGATAAGTCTTCACGTATTTTTTTTTTATATATTTTTTCCCTTTGCGGCATATATCCGAGTAGAAGGCGTCCCACAAAGGCAACGCTTTGTCTGGGGCCATCGGAAAACGCAAAAACATTTTACATTTTTGTGGCGCGTTGTTATTGTTGTAGCTGTTTTTGCTTTGTTGATTTGCAGCCCGATGCAATTTTTGGTAATGCGACGGCAACACCGACGGCAGCGACAACGGCAACACATTATTTTCTCTTACGAGGCGACATCATCATCTGGCACACACATTTTATTTTCGTTGATTGAATGGGAAAGACAAAGCGCAGCACCGACAAGCAGCTGAGCGTGTGTTGGTGTTGGTGTGGCTGTGACTGTGTGTGTTTGTGGATGCTGATGCCGCCGCCAACAGAAAGAGCGAGAGAGACGTGAAAAATCGAATCAGAAAAAGAGGCATGCGAATGTTGGAGCGAATGGCAGTGCGAAAAGGATCAAAGGATAAACAAGGAGGCGCAGCAGCCATGAAATGTAAACGAAGCGCAAAAAGCAGCGAGCGAAAAATGTGCGCAAAATAAATTGCGAAGGGAGCAGAGGAAAGACGGACAAAAACATGTGGCACATTGAATGAATTTTTATATATACATATACATATACATATATACATATATATATATATATATAATTTTTTTTTGTATGAGCAATGATGCTGCCAGCGGGCGAACGGCCGAAGGGGGAAGGTAGAACAGACAGGCACAAGAGAAATCACGTCCCTCGCGCCTGTCTGACTATGTGACGTTGCCGCTGCTGTTGCTGCTGCTGCCGCTGCCGAGAGAGATGGCATATATATTTATTTTTAACTTTTCATTTCATTTTGTATCTGTACGTTGTACGTTGCCGATTCCGATTTGTATATATGTATGCTTGAACATAGCTCGTTGTTGCACTGCACTTTTATTTCAAATTTGAAAGCACTTGACGTTGTTTTTATTTTTTTTTATTTTCATCTTAAAACGTATTTGGATTTGGTTTTGTTGCTTGGCATTTGCACACATGTATTACATGTTTTGTAATTATTCGATTGCGATTAGAAGAGACACCAACTTAAACATATAAGCGTGCAATTTTTTCACTTTAAAGCGTCTTCAACTCCCACGACTTGTTGAGAAGAGCGAGAATATACAACTACAATTGGTAGGGAAATACGCGCGCAATGCTTAAATTTACCGCAGCAACAATCGAAGACGTCCGCTCGCAACGAGAAATGAAATGCGAATGAGTGATGAAAAAGAAGAGCGCAACTACAGAGGATGCGAGCATAGCTGAGCGCGGCAGAATGTTTGTGCGTTGCGCAAAATGAGAGAATGAAAGCGACTCACGGCTCAAAGAGAGCGAGAGACAGAAAACGAACCTTTATATGTTTTGCAACACTGTTACACTCTTGGCGCCCAATTTGAGTTACGCGAATAAATTGTTGATTCTGTTTTTATGCAATCCGTAAATATGATGAGTTGTAAAATAATTTTAACAAAATGTTATATTTAAATTAATAGTCGACAAAAAAGGGTTGCCTTACCTAGTTTCATATTAGAGCAGATTGCTCTAATTGCACGTACTCCAAACAGTAACAGTGCTGTTGAGTTAACAGGCCAGCATTAACAGCGCTGTTATGCAATTGCGAGTATCGATAGATTGATTAGCGCGGCAAAATATTATCAGAGTCGAAATTGAAATCAAGCAAAAAACAATCAAATTATATATGTAATTTTAAAGTGATTCAATAAAATTAAAATACAATAAGAAAAAATATAGCAAAATTAGGGCAGCTATGGCCAAATGAAGTTCTTTTTGCCGCCTATTAGCTTCGGGTTCTATTTTCCTTCTGACCAGAGGACACTTGCCATGCATAGACAATTTCGCACAGATTGTTAATGACATCAAAGAGTGAACTTTCCCCCAACCCATGCACATTGCACAAATGCGCCCGACCATGTTGTCATGTGGTTCAACAAACAGAGTCCTGTGTTGCCTCCTTGCTTGCCTCTTGCCACTTGCCACTTGCGTGTCCAACAAATCAGAAATGCACCATGACTGCAATAAAACCAAATCAAAAGCGACATGCCTCATTTTCGGCTGCCCAACAACATGACTGACGCGTTGTCAAGATTGCATTAGCCGTGTGTGGACACCAGGCAGGCGGAACGGTGCTCGCTTTGCCAGGACAACAGCTGCCATGGCAAGGCGTGCGAGGCTTATTAAACAGCAGCCCGAGGTGGCGGGCGTCAGAGCAGGAGCCAGATTTAAAATGCAAATAGCCTCACGAGTTAACAGCGCCCCATTCGACTGAGCTGCCGCTGGTGGCAATTTCTCCACTCTGCGTTCAAGTGACTGCATCCGGCCGTATCCTGGAGCTGGCACAGTCAGATACCCGTCGCTCTATCAGCGCGAAGCGGCACCCTTTGCACCCTCTGTACCTCCCGCTGCGTTATGTCGTGTGCTTTGGTTGTTTTGGTTCTCGAGCTGCTTGCAAATATGCAAATGCCGTGAAGCTGGCAACTTTTTAATCCCGGTTGGCCGGCAAATTGTCGCCCCAACAGGGCTCTGCTGTTAAGCGGATTCGCCTGCAGCGGCTGATAAATGCAGGGTATATAACCCATATAGAAATCACAAATGCAAAAGGCATACTGTATAAAAAACATATGAAAGGAGCCCAAGAGCTCTAGAGAAAACAATGGACTTGTAAGAAAGTCCTTTCAGAAAAAACTTTTCTTTTTGGCTTAACAGCAATGCTAGTTGTCAACAGTTTACAGCTTAACATTCGCATAACATAAACTGAGCAATTTAGTAACATTCTGTTGAATCTTAAATCCATCGTAATTTTTGCTTTGCATTTTACATGGTCTTTTAACATAGTCAAAGTAAACTATTTTCATTTAACAGTTGCTTAACATAAGCTATGCATTTCCTTGCACTGTAAACGGTAGAGAGCCTAAGAACTCACCATCTAGAACAATTTCTTTACTTCATCTTAAACCTTAAACGATAGAAAGCCTCAGGGCTCACACATAATCTTCCATAATTTCGCTTTGTTTTTAAAGATGGCTTTTGCAACTGAACTATTTTCAGTTTGCGCTAAATTCAATCTGGTTTTTTTCCTGGGCTTAAGACAGCGCAGCGAACCGCAGAGACCTGAGAAAACTAACACAGAGTTGTTGCTGCCGCCCCAAAGTGGGAAAACATTGGGAGACAGAGAGTTGATATATGAATGGGTGGCTGGGCTGGGCGGAGGCGGGGCTGGGTCGTTGCGAGTGGCCAACAAACCGCAAACAATAACAAACGATGGCCAAGGCGAAACACAAACAGAAACCGAAACAGACGCTGCCTGCTGATGACGCCTACAAAATGGCTACAAAGAAAAGCAGCAAGAGATTCGGTTTAGTGGTCGGCAGCGGGCGACAGGGCCGGGTTAGGCGTGTGCCTTGCACAGGGGGCGTGCTGTGCCATTTGAAAGCAAAAAGGATTTATGATGCTTGTTATCGCACAGCCGGAACGACGCGACGCGAGGCAAACGATGACAAAAGGTGGCCAAAGGAAACGAATACACAAAATGGATACACGCACAGTGAGGTGTAGGTGTTCGTGTGCGTGAGTGGGTGTGTTTGTGTGTGTGTGGCAACAGCTTGGCAATGGCGCGTAACACAGATAAGATCTACACGCACAGCAAAAGCATTGCATACTTTTCGGCATGCGCTCGTAAAACGCAAGGCAAACATGTGTTCATTCAGTTGTAGCTAAATTATTATTGCTGTTGTCGTTGTTGTTGTTGTTATTGTTGCCTCCCACATGAGCAGACTAATCGCATGAAAACATATATATGTATATACATGTATATGACTGGACTGTAGCTCAGGTGTAACAGCTATTACCTCCCACCTAGCCACGAGAAGCTGCGTGTGTTGGGCATAAAATTTACATTAATTAAATTTCAAAATAGGCTGCCGATAGGCTGCTCCTAATTAAATGGAAAAAAAGAGAAGAAAAAAATGTTATATATGCATGCATAAAAGCAAAAGTTGCCATTAAGAGCGCCTAAAAGTATCTATTAGGCTGACAGCGTTGGCTGTCGGTCGGGGAGCGGGGGGGAGCCTAAATTAGTCAATAAATTAAAGCACGCTGAATGGCAAGGAGCCTGCAGGCAGGAGCCCGGAGCCAGCAGCACTTGGCCCTGCTTGGGCCACCATAACGAGCCAAAAACATTGCATTAAAAAATCCATTCATTAAAATGGCAAAACGTGGCACAAAATTTATGGCCCGGGCAGAAGTCGACGGCGTCTACGGCGTCGACGGCGTCTCAAGTGGCAGCGCATTTGCTTCGAGCATGCCACAAAGAGCAGCTTTCAACAGCAACAACAGCAGCAGCAACAACAGTTATACAAGTGGACAGGTAACAGTGGGCCAACAACTGAAGCCTCTTTAACTCTCTTAAAGTGTTACTGTTCCAAATGCCGAAATGACAATAAACATGGCAGTAATTCTATTAAAAAACCCAGCAATAAATAAAGCTTCAATTTAAAGCTTTAATCAGTAACTTTGTAGTTTCTTTGTCTATCCTTACTTATAAATTATAAGCTTTAATCAATAGGTTCTTAGCTTTCTTACTCTACACGCAGAAAACTTATTCAACAGCACTTTAACGCTGCTAACATAAATTAAAGAGTTGTTTTATCCTTGCAAATGCTATGAGAAATTAAGGTAACCTTAAATTATGGGCAAAAGCACATTAAAGCTTCCTTTGGTATAAAATGTGCTTCATTCTTAAAAATCTCAAGTTTACTTTGTACCTATAAAACTCTACTAGAATAACATTAAATCTTTAAAATAAGTTCTTCATACGCAGAATGTACTTTCGAACCATCGTTCTTTTGACAGCTTCATGGTATAGTAGTCCGATCCGGCCAGTTCCGACAAATATACTGCCTGCAGCAGAAAGGCGGACCTATGCAAAGCTTCAAGCGGATGGCTTTAAAACTGAGAGACTAGTTCGGATTGTAAAAGACAGACGGACAGTCGACAGATGGGCGGAAGGACTTGTCAATATCAGCTCGGTAGCTGATGCTGATCAAGAATATATATATTTTATGGGGCCTTCTATGCGTTACACGGTTCTACTAGGGTATAATGAAAATAAAGCTCATTTCAGAAAGGGCGTCTGCTTATGCAAGCGACTCATGTCGGAATAAACAAATTAGAACTCCAATCGCTTTCAATTATTACAATTTTTATATCAGTCTATTATCTAATAATAATGTATCAAAGTTCCTGATTTTAAGCAAATGTCAACCTGGCATTACAGTTGCTTTGGGCGTGGCTGATTGCAGGACGCGCCAGTTCAATGCGCTCGTCCTGCACACTCAATTATAATTTGCTTAGACAGACAAACAGCCCCAGAGCTCGGCACAGGGGCCCGGTTTGAGGCCTTCAGGGAGATGCGGCGCACTCGTCGACGCATTAGTAAAGAGCAACAGCCTCATATATGAATATATTTATGTGCATGTGTGTGTGAATATATAGCTGACTATATAAGAGAATGTATGGCGGACTCAACGGAAGGACGCCGAAAAGTGTGCAGCATTTGCGAAAGTTAAAAGCATTTGTCGGTTTATCAGGCCCGCACATCCCACATGACCCCACATCAACCCACATCCGAACAACTCTTTTGACTCGAACCGCTTTTTACTCATTTCATTTCATCCTATACTAAATGAAATGAGTTACTAAAAGGAGTGTGTAAGCTGGCAGAGTTCTTTTTTAGCTGGAATGTGATTAGTTGATACCCCAGCACTACATTTAATGCATTGATTAAAGAAGTCATGCTAAATGATTGAAGACCTAGGTACTATTGATATGAATTATTATTTTTTAATTAATTGAAAAATTTGTGGAAAATTTGCAATTCTTTTGCTTTCGGCTTCATACTTATTTTCAAAGATATTTATTTGATAAGCAAAATACACGGATTCTGGAAGGAAAATTTAAAATATATTTAGAAATAGTTTATATTTTTCACGACCGGGAGCAGAGTGAAAAGTTATGTCTAAAATGTTAAGCAGAAAACTTTCCACGGGCAAGGCCGGGCAATACCCGCTAGTATATTTTATATTTTTACTTAAGATGTAATAGAACTTACAACGATAATAAACTTGTTAATCAAGGACATATTTATACGGAATAATTCCCATGCCAAATGCCAAACACATAATTACCGATGCCAAAGTCAA